ATATTTTTTCCGCAATAATGTAATGACTTTCTCAACGATAGCTAAAAGAATAATATAATGAATATTATTTTGTTTTTATGTATTCAAACTCAAAATAATTTTGGGTCAAGGCTACTTATACCAATACCGGTCAAAATGATTAGTACCTGTCAAAGTATAAAAGGGTCCTACAATTTGTTTATCGAACCCCAATTAACCAGTTTCCTCGTTTTGTATCATTCAATATGACGATATCAGTTATCAGGAAAATTCCGCATCGATCGTTAAATCGCTAGATGCTAACACTAGAATAGCACACCAGTCAAAGTGACTGGTTCTACAATTTTATAAATGTGTCAACCCTCGTTTAGGGATCATGGTCCCAGATGAATTAATAATACCAAAAATGTACTACATAACATGGAATTCCTTCTGTAAGAAAGTAATAAATCAATACACATAAAAGTGTTCTATTATTAGGTATTTTTTAAAGACCAATCATTTTGACTGGTTTTGGTAGAAATAGCTTCGCGTTAACTATCGGTAGTTCTAGTGTTAAACAATCTGTCTCCAGGATTTACCAAGTAGACCTTGACGCGATCCTTGTTCCTCCGTCTCGTCTCAATGGCATTGAAAGTTGACCCAAACCAGTTTAAAAAAACCCAACGATCCTCTCTCCTGTTTCAGCTACCTCATGAAACAGAGTTGAAACGTTGCGTTTCCTGCCTGTTAAGCAAATCCCACGTAGTTCGAGTCACAGTGACCGCGGAGAGACGTCGAAAGCCACGAGCGATCGTAGAATCTCATTTCTCGTCCATTCACCGCAGTTAAACGCGTAAAAACGGGGAAAAAGGCGGCCGTGATGTTCCGCGACGCAATCTTATGGAAATTAGTTTACTCACCGGTACCCACTTGCTTCTCGGTGATGTCTTGCCGACGAATGACACTCAGTCCCGTGTCAAACGACCGTTATCATTGCATTTCGAGAGCAGAACGGCCATTGTCAAGTTTATTAGCAACGAACCGCGCGCCACGACGCCTTGTTTGCCCAACAATTAACGAGTTTTGACGGTCGAACGACCGTAAGCAGACTAGGGTGCTAATTGCTGCCACCGCTATTGGTTTGCCGTTGACATTTTGCTCGTACGTTTTGCCTGGCTCGATCAGAATTTTAAAATCTGCGAGCCACGCGAGATCAAGGGGAATGTAACGTCACTTCAGGCTTCTCAATTTAATAGAAAATATTAGATTGGAAAATTTGAGTTTGGAAAGTCCAGGAATCATTCACTCTGTGAAACTGTGTTCTGGTTAATATTTGACGCTAATATTAGACGTTGTAACAGAGATTGAAATGGCGTTATGTTTGCAATTTGCGAAAAACTTGGACATCTTGAGGGATAAATTTATCGAGGTGAAAGAAAATTGTTTTGAGAATTTAGCTTCACTGAACCCTGAGAAAAATATACACTTATATACAGAGACAAGTGTGTAAATAGAAAAATTATTACAAAACCAGTAACCAACACTGGTCCATGAGAATCATTTTCAAATAATTTAACGAACTATATATGTTATCCTGTGCTGAGGTTCACTGATAGATGAACGAGTGGATGAATTTGTAATAGAAAAATATATTGCAATAAGTATAAGTATAAGTACAAGTACAAGTATAGTGTACGCTAACCCAGATTCTCATTCTTACAGTGTTACAACACAATAGGAAGAGTATAATAAGGAGCACATTTCTATATTTATAGTAAAGGTCATTACTACAGCAATAGAAATCTACTTATGGCTCTTTTGTTTCTAGATCTTGTAACCCAAAACAAAAGTTATATTCAACGACACAATAATATGGAAATCTCCTTATTTTCAATTTTTTCACTAAATTCTATTCTCTTCGTAACAGCGATCTCCAGGTCACGAATATACAAAAGAAAAGGTATAGAGTTTATCTTGAAGTAATTACTTTAACACCCCCTAAGATATTAAATCATCGTTTGCAAAAACTATGAAAGAGAAAAGCTTGTAGAACGTAGCGTCCAAAATTTTAGGAAATTTCAGGTCTGCGTTTCACGATACCTTTAGCATTGGTTTCACGTGTCGATTACGTTCGACGTAAATGATCCCCTACCACGTACTCCCAAACTTGGAGCTTTTTACGAAAGAAAAGATTGCGGATCGTATTAGGATTTCGACGTGCAGTTAGAGCGTCGCTGAACGAATATTTTGAAACGAATGAATTTAGCAAACATTGAACAGTGCGATCGGGAAGCAGACCGTGACAAAAATCCAGTACAGTGTTCCTTGTTAACGTGATAATTCGATCGAAACGATAATTTGCTCGACTTTGCACGCTAGTCCGAACGGCTACGCCAAACAGACCCAATTTGATTACCATGTGTAGGTTAATTTGACGGTGTATTCAGCGTTCTAATTTCTAGATTATCACCGTGAACTCTTGGCTACTCAAATTTGACGATCCAACGTGAAAGCAAGAATATACAGTGTCCCATAATATATCGGACCTACTTTACGTATTAACTATACACTTGAAAGGATTTATTAAGATTTATTAAGACTTAAAAAGACGAAAGAGATTTATTTAAACATACAGGGAACGAAAATAAGTGGACAGGTAGTGGAAATAGGTATCAATTCACGATTTCTTTAAAAACGGCTTGTTTGCACAAAAATATAAATACTAATTTCAATTATTTATTAAATAATCTACTATAGGGATATACAGTGTATTCTCGCACAACATGGTCACCCTAAAGAGCGATTCTACGTGCAAGAATAAGTCGAAAATGTAGAATAAAATTTTGTATTTGAGCCTTCGTTTTTGGGAGAATCTAGTTTGAAAATTTATCGAATATATTTCAACTTATCTGTTATTCAAATCCTTTTGCAGAATAATTGAACAATTAATAATATCATAATTTTATGTGAAATAGAGCAATCAAATGACGTAATCGTTTAATTTGTAATTTGTAGAATTCGCTTGCAAAGTTACATTTGTTTCGTTACTAAACGCATTAATATTCTTAATTAGTAACTTCGAAAACGTCATTTGTAAAATTCCACTATTCGTATTAATTGAGAAGAAAAAAGCCCTGATTATCTTTACAGGAGATGTTCAAGATGACCACTTTGGATTTCTAGCATGGCCATGGACGTCTTGTTATTGTGTAACTATTCACGGAAGGGAGATATGGTTTCTTGGAGCTGTCGATAGCGACGTCTGCAAGCTGGAAAATTAGGTCGCGTAGCGGTGGAAAGAAGCCCGTCGGGACTCGTTTCGAAGTTCCACACGACGAGAAGACAGTGGAACACTTTAAGGAGGAACTTGAGAAAAATTAGCGCTCGCCAAGACAGCGAAAAATTAGTCAGTCCTTGTGCCATGAATTTCGAAGGGATCAACGTCCCTAGTCCGCCATTAGCGGCATATGATATAAAAGAGAATCGATGTACACACAGGGAACGTTAATATTGTCGACTGGAATAGGAGTATAAGACGAAATTACGTTGACGAGAATTTTAAAAGAGAACTTCGACGTTCTGAGAAACTTGTCCGCCGCGCCATGCAAAATGGAACTAGCTGTTTCTTCTTCTATCACTTCCAAGCAAAAGGAAAGCGACATTATTTTTAAAGTCATCGCGAATAACATCGAAACGCGTTTGCGGTCATTTTTACATGTACGTCTTCCTGAATACCGATTCTTGTCAATTGTTTTCCAAAACGTATATATCGTCAGTTGTGTCTACTGAATCACAGGACACACGCGTAATATCATTGAATGTATCGGCTAAATCACGTAGCACACAAATGGCGTATTGCCTTCAAGGACCACGTACGTATTACGCGGTTGAGCGCGTTGAAATAATCGAAACAACCTGCAAGCTATTCAGTCCCAAAGCTCGAATAAAAATCTGCCTCCATAAATTCATATCAAAATTACGATTTTTTCAATCGTAGTCGTCTTAGAGATATTCAAATGCGACTCCAACTTCCAACGAGACACGAACGAAAGAATTGAGAAAAGTGTAAGAAATACAAATCGGAGCATAACAGCGAAATTGTGGCGTGAACGCGGTAATAATCGCCGTCGGTCGCGTTTCCAGCGTCGCAATGATTCTTGTCAGAAACAGCTGGAGCACGACACGTGCGTCGCGACGCGTTGTCGCGGCCGCTTAAAGGGGGCTCATGCCACGAGGATCAGTCGAGTACAGACCGAATCCGTATTAATCAGTTCACCGGTCGAGCCGCCGCTGATTTACGCGACGTGTGTGCCTCAAGGGCTTGCAGCATCTGTCCGACGGACCAAACCGAACTTCGTCGATGACAGCGTAGGGATGTAGGTGTATTCGGATAATTTGGTCTCTCGATCGGTTGGCTGAATGTCTTGCAGCCTTTCTACGTCCACCGGGAAGCGAACAAAGCGATTTTGCTTACGACCAACTCGAAAATGCTGACTCTGGCGCGATTTGCCTAGAACTCGTCCCTTCGATTTGATTTTGCTTTTCCGACGATTTCATGGGATACAGAATGGTCTTGGTTATCACGAATATACTATTGTAAGACAGGATTGATTTACGTCTAATTTTACTTTCGATTTTCCTGTCAACTTCGCGGGAAATAGGAAACATCGAGTTCTTTATGATTTAGCCAGATCTTTCTGCTTTCCCAGCGATTCCAAGGAAAACGTTCCGAAAACTCATTGTGGTCAATCTAACTCCAGTTTCTGCTACTTTCAAAAGGAACAGAATATATCGTGCTTTTAATTGTTGAATTTGATAGAATGGTAGGTGCGTCTTGTAATTATATCAGATTTAATCGCTTTGTCATTTTCGATATTTCCAGGCGAAGAAGGATAATTCGAACTTCTTGCGATTGAGTTAAATTTAATATATTCGTATTGAAAAGCAAGCAAAATGGTATCGTGCGTTGGTTTTCAGCTGAAACCTGATGAATCGTTGGATTTGGAAGGTGTCTTTCATTTAGGAAAATTTGTCGAGTAAAAAAAGTTTATTATTAACCTAGATCGTCGGAGTACAAGTTAAAAAGTAACAGCTTCAAGAGAGAAAATGGACAAGGATAAATAACATCACATGGCATCTTTGTTCTGTAAGCAACGTCGTAGGAATCCACTTCCTTCACACGTTCAACGTTGCTGAAAAGAAGGAGGAACGTATATTCTGGTAAATTTTAACAAAACTTATTTCGTACAACATTTTATCCAAACTGTACCTTAATATCAATCGAATAACGTCTTCCACAAATGACACTCCTCGTGGACTCAACAGCGTTTTTGCCTCGCAGATCGTCCTGAGAATGCACTGTTTTCCTGGTAGGTTCCGACTGAAACAAGTTGCTCTGGTACTTCAAAATGAAAACAAAGGACGCGCCATCGAATGCGAATGTATGCAAAACACACCTGTTCAACGCTGTCTCAAAAGTAGCGTACAATTCGCGACGATGACGTCGTTTCACCATCCACGGCCTCTTCTTGTGATATTTTTTCCGGAAATTCTCTTGCTGCGGTATTGGCCAAATTACATCGAACTCGAAATCGAGATTCCAGTTGCTGGGTAGTTTAATCTGAATCGGTTGCAATATGGACAACGTCAGCTAAACGATAAGAAAATAAATACACTCAGTTCAATATACTGAATAGTTGGTATAGTTGAATGTTTGTTGTATAATATAATTGATGATCCTTCTCCAGGATCGAATGATATTACGCTTTAAAACACAAAATCTAAATTACTAATTATTAGGTAATACATTGATGTATAAATTAGACAAGCGTACATTTTTTACTTTCATACTTCTTACCAACATTTCCTAATCAAGCAAACGTGAATAAAGTCAATTTTCTCGCCATGAAGTCGATATTTAAATACCGAGTTGTAAGGAAATAATAAAATGCTTGCCAAGTTGAAAGAGTAAAGTTCGTAAGTGTGCGGTAATTTATAAACAGAGATTTATATCGTTTCTATGATCTTCGTTTCAAGAATAAATCACGAACGATCTGTAAAAGTGACCACTTCACCATTCTTTCATACTCCGTCGAGAAAGATATATTTTCCACCAGAGGTCCATGTAGTCGAAGGGACTCATTTCGTATTCCGTAGCAAACGCGCTCCTTGACCAGCCCCGCAATGACATTGAATGACCGAAACGAAATAGCCAATACTTACCACAAATGTGCTGCCCATTGGAAAAGTGAGTCGCCTTCGTCTGGACAGAATCTCCGATGATCTTTGATCGGGGATGCTGATGTCAGTGTGATTACGGTGACACACGTGGTCCCCGAGGACCAGCTCGAGGATCCTAGCGAGAATCAGCACCAGCCACGGGGCCCTCATTTCTTCGAATCACGGGCTGAAATCAGCGTTTCACGGTGGTGGACGAGCTCTCAGACCTCTCCCAGGAGGAACAGGAGGAGCAAGTTTCTCAGAAAAGCCAGCAACATCCTTCACGGTTACGTCGACCTGCGTACGCGTCGCCCGACTATTGCTTCGCCACGCTGCGAATACGCCTCGCGCTGACTACATTTGTTTGAAGTTCCAGTTAGCAGATTTGGTTCGTTGTCTCTTGTTACGCGATTCCGGTTTGTCTTTGCCGTGAATTTTTTCCAGCTTCTCGATCATCGTATAGATCGGTTCATTTCAATGTAGCGAATAACAATATTTTGAAGTTGCGTAAAAATAATTCGTCGACTCCTTTTACTCCTTTCCTTTCGCTTCAGGATGAATATCAGCAAAATATAAAATCGACATCACCATCTTCGTATATATCGTAAAGCTAATTATAATTATAACTGTGTTAAAGTTGTAGATTCATAGATTTCAATCTTATTCTCATTTCAGCAAACAAAAGAAACTTCTTATATTTTAAGAAAACGTTTATAACATAGAATTAAAATGAGAGACTTTTTCCTATTTCATTCAAACTTGAGATATTTTTCAGCGCTATAAAATTACAATTAGATCGAAAATAATTGGAAACGGGGGTTAAATGTAAAATATTACGAAGTACTCTTTTAGGAGATTCGTATATTTCGTAGACGATATATACATTTCGTAATAAGGAACTCTGTTACCTAGGATGTGTGCGATTAACGTAAAACATCCGAACAAGTCCTGTTCGTAGCCGCAAAACAGTCGATCTCCTCGGTCCACGACGCGACGCAGAGCCGAGGAGCACCTAATTTATGGCACCCTCAAGTATTTGTCGCTTTCTCTTCACACAGTGTGTAAGAGGAAACGAACGACCCTTCAGAATACTTGGAAAACTTCACACTTTCTTACAGTATCTTCCTTCTTCTTTGTTCCTATAATTTATAATAATAGAACGTATATAACATTACCGAGTATTATTAATATTAATTATTACTTATTCAAACACCGAGAGGATGTACTGAATTGTATAACAACCGTGGTTACCATGTTATTGTTATAATAACAAGATTATCCAGGCATAATCAACAATGGAAACAATATAGCTGGCTCATGCATCCAATATAGTCAAGTAATTTACAGGAGCGGAACGTTCGTTCATAATTACAACCTCTCGCATAAAAGACGTTGACCCGTTTGGGCATCGGCCATTCATTTATTCGCGGAAATATTGGTTGGCTGTAATTTCGGAGATTCCCCTTGCTCGTTTAAAATGCAGCGACTCGTCTAATTAGGGGTCACTGGATAGACAGAAGGCGGGAAAATCAGATCGTTTCGGACGTCGGATAAATCACTCGTCGTGGAATTCTCCAGTGGGAGGAAAAAAGAGAAAGGGGGAATAGAGACGAGAGGGCCCGAAAGTGAAATTACCTCATAAACGGAAACCATGGGAAGTGATCAGGGTATCTTGGAGATTGGGTAACGCGAAAACGTCGTCGTTGAATATATTTTCGGAGATTTGCGAAATTTCGGAATAGCCTGATCTAGCACGACACGGGCTATGGGGGTGGAAATCCACCTACCCCTTAGGGAATTCTTCGCAACAGTCGAGAATGTCAATTTGAAATTCTTCCGCGGTGAACTGGAAAACGCGGCAGCTGGCTATGGATGGAAAACTGCCTTATGATACTGCGAACGTTTGATTCGCTTAAACTATACGTAAAGTATACTTTAGCTATTTCGGCGGACAAATTTCTACAGTAATGGAACGCACTTTAGGGAAAATACAGTAAAATCGATCAAGGGTTCGATGGAAAAATGACATGAGGAAGATCGGCATAGCAATCGAGTGGGTGAAACCGGATACTATTGTTTTTCTAAGATAATAGCTATGGATACGTGTCCAATTTATGGCCACAGATTCTAGCTGATCCTTTGATCTCACGAGAAGGCCTGTAAGCCGAAACACCCGCTAGCTTTTCTTCGATGGTAGTTCATAAATTTCCAATGAAAATGTACCAGCATTGTTTTATACACCGTAATCGTCTTTTACTGATTTAAGAGCTTCATTAACGATCATTCTTAAATTTGTTCACTTCGAACGTTAAATGACAAAGACTTAAAAATCTTTTGTTCCAATTGTGAACTATCTGAATCGAAATTTCAGTGAAACCTACTATTCAAATATGTATACACAGAAACATTTTATTTAATTTAATGTATTAGGTCGTCCGAAAAGTTTCTTTCGTTTTAGAAGGAAATAATGGATACACAACATCTTCCGTTTTATATTATTTGATCGAATTACGTATGATCCATTTTGTTCTATCAAACTAAAGATCACAACGTTTGATAGATTAGGTTTCATGTTTGTATAAAGATGAGTTGTTGTAAAACACGTGTCTGTAAAAGAAAGACACTTTCCGGACAACCTAATACAAAAATTGGTATGCTTTAGGTGTGATACACACATACGTACGTACAGTGGGTTAAACATACATATTAATCAACAAACATACACCATTAAAAGCACACGCGCAATTAATCAAATTTCTGTGGATCTTGTTGGTCGTTTTGCGAAATCGCTAAACAACGATGTACCAACAAGATCTGTGAAAATCGGTTTCTTTTAATAAATCAACCTTAAACTTTTGCATTTTGACATTTTTCGCATGTATAATGTATTATATTGTGAGCCATAGCAGTAAAAGGGTTAATGATGCGTGATGGGAACGTAAGCCTCGGTTACCGTTCTCAAAGGATGAGAATTGCGTTACGGCGAATGTGTGCGCGTACAAACACACAGCGCTTGAGGTCGAACGCGAGATACGCGTACATGTAAGCAAAATACCGAAACCATGCACCAGCCCTCAATCCCCGGAAGGATACGCGCTCGAGCACACGGCACGGTATTATTCCAGCTTACGCGCGGTGTTGTCGTAGGACTAATGAATCCGCCGATAACCGTTTACTCAATGAATACCCACGACTCGTATCGTCTTCGGCGACTTACCGTATTAATTATCGGCGTTTTGTGGTTCGATGTTCGAAAAGAACTTGAGTAGCTTTGTTGTAGTTAGATGTAAGTATCCGTTTTCACCAAACGAAGACCATAGAGAAAGGAATTAAATTATAATTCCTATTTTTTTTTATAAAGCAATAATTTTAAGATTCAGTACAGTCAATCGATGATAAACATGTAACCAAACTTATACTTTTATTTGGTTTTTGAAAATATTTTATATACACATATCTGTATTTTTTCATTGACTTCAACATTGTAAAAATACTCATCGTAATGTTAATATATCGTATGTGTTAATAATCATGTATTTAGCTTCTACGAAATTTTATTATTTTAATTATATAATATAATTAAATAATAAATACTATAATTAAATTATATAATAAATTATATAACATAATCAAGAGAACAAATTATCGGCTATTTCATCGTTTAAGTCTTAACGCTAGAACTACCACGCCAGTCAAAATGACTGATTTGACAACTTTATTTTACAATTCCTACTTCATGTTATATTTTTTTCTCCGCAATGATGTAATAACTTTTGCAGGGATAGCTAAAAATATTAAAATAAAAAAATTTTATTTTGTTTTATTCATTTAGAATGAAAGTGATTTTGTATCATGGCTACTTATACCAGTAACAGTCAAATTGACCGATCATTCTGCAGAGCATAGCCGTTGGAGTAAAACCTGATTTCTCGTTTCATAAAGCAATATTTTACAAGCCTTGAAAGTGTAAACGATTGTAAACAAGAATATTATTTCAAAAAGGCTTGTGACACAAGAACGGTGCAACGTATACTCCATATCTTCGTGATAGAATTTGTATTTGATCAACGACGCAAAGTTTCATTAGATTTCTAACAAACACTATTGTCGATACATAATTTCCATATATTCGCATTACTTATAAACAGATGAAAATATTATAATGACACTGTGATTAGTTTCACTTGCAAGCTCTCGACGTTAATCTAATAGCCAGTGCACAAGGTACGGCCATTGGGCGGTGTACGTAATTAAATGTAACTCGAGTGTCTTCGAGCAACCTCTTTGGACACCATAGCCTCGGCATGGTTATTTGGTAAATTAAGAAGAAGGATTTCGTTCTCTCTTAGAACACATCCGGACATCTCCGCTGCGCTTCGTTGCAATTCTCTTTTAGGAAGTAAGCTCTCTCGTACTCGGTCATTGAATCAGTGTTGTCGTAGCTCGCTGGTAACCTGAAACGAGGAAACTTCGCTGAATTATCGGTGCAGCGCGAGCGAGAGTAATTATTAAAGGGAGGAAAGAGTATATCTTGATGAGTAAATAATCTACAAAGTATTCGCGCGTAATCGTCCGAAGGAGAAGTTGCACGAGAACGAGAAGTCGAAGAAGACGCCGGGTCGTAAAAGCCTAAAGGATTAGCCTTTTTATGGCTCGCCTTTTAGCTCCGTGAAATTCGAAACTAATCGAAACGACCCGGAAATATCTAGGAAAGTTCGAACATTTCGCACCACCTTGGTAATTATCAGAAGCAACACCACGAACTAGTCTTCTTCCGGATAGAACAACAAGCTGGCTGGCCTCGGGGCCGTGGAAGAGCTCGCTGATTTTTGCCGCGCCGGAAACTTCATAACGATTATTAAAACGGAACGACGGGAAAAGTTGTGGAAAGGAATTGCACGAGCCTCGGCGGGCTTTCGAACTTTTCCTAGATGCAGCCGGTCCGATGACGACGTTAAACGTCACACCGGATGTCATGAATAAATTCAACGTGTTATCGAAAAAGTGTAACGCGACCGTCATGCTGCCAGCTTCGAGCTGCTTCTTCAGGATAACTTCACGAAAGACGTGAACACGACGACACTTTGATAGCGAATGCATCCGTCATCTCCTTCCCCTCGTATCTTCGTTAACTTCTTTCCATCTTTTATCACTTCGTGTACGTCCTCTTTTTCCTTTATTTTCTTCAAGCCGAGTATGGTTAAGAAAAATTATATTCCGTTCAGTTTGTCCACTCGGTGTTTCCTTCATCGATCAATCCACGATTAATCAACGCATCTCATTTTCTTCATCTTCCGCTATTTACCGGCTTCTCGATATTCCTCCTTAATCAATCTTTTTGCTAATCATCGTTTAACCATTCACCAGTGCTCACTCTGGTCGTCACCTTCTCGACGTTTTCACTTTCCCTCGCGCCGATCAACGTTTGATTAATCAGCGTTTTCCATTTGGTCCGTCATCTCTTTGCTGTTCGATGTTACCTCGATCAATCTTCCTCCGTCGATCGCACTTCGCCCCGTGTGATCTTCCATTTTC